AAAACCATCCCCAAATCCAAGATGTTTTAATAGCAACTCATCTAAGCTGCCTTCACCCCCTCTAATTAAAGTTGATTGACAATTTCTTAGAGTGGAGAACACCACACTGAATACAAATACACAGCTATAACCAGTCCTGTCTGGATTTTAAAAATATGTCACTTTATGAATTTTTATGTTCCCACCAACTTAAATGCTAATCATGTTTTTATTTTTAGGGGCTGCTACTTTGCCTCTTTGTTTTAACACATTTCATGAATATGCTTTTTGCACTGAAAGATGTCAACTTCACTTTTAAAATTCTACTTACAATAGGGATAAGATGATTGGTTATTACATTTAATTAATGATAAGGAACGGAAGGTTATTAAACAATATGTCATCATTCCTTGTGATGAAACTACGCAAACAATACATTTGTTCTACGTGATCCAACTTAAATGATTTCTAATATTTTTTTCCAGTTATTGTACAGAAGCAAGGTTAGGTTCAGATTTTTTAAATGTAATTCTCCTTTTTGGAACCTTGTAACACTTATGGCTAAGTACAGGCCAACTGTACCCTTAGATATTCATGCTGGATTTTAAATTTATCCTGAGTGCATATTTAAGGACATATTTACACACTTAATAGGTATAGAACACTGACATTTATCCATCTCTGTCAAATTAATTTTGTTTAAAAATACTGGCAAGCTCAAAGACAGTTTTGCTTCCATATTGCCAAGGTTTATCATTTTAAGATGTACAACTTCTAAGGAGCAGGGACAGACGGTCACAAAAAGCAACCCCAGCTGGTATAATACTACTTAGTCATCACTTTCACCCCTCTATCCAAAATAAAAGTAACACAGGAGACAGAACAATAATTGCCCCTGTTGTTACTCTTGAATAATAGTACTAAAATTTTAAATCCCTCTTTTAAAAAAATTATAATGGAATGAAAGAATGAAATCTGGTTTTGAATGTCATTATGCATTTCAGTCTCTATTTTCAGTGATAAAATTTGTATGCTGTGTTTGAGCAAACTGTCATGTTAATCACATTCCTCAGTCTGGCAGCTTCAATAATAAGTACACTGATGGGTAGCTGTTGTTTTTTTTAATGCAGTTGATGGGTCCCCCCCCCCACTTCCAACACCCTAAGAGGAAAAACAGAATTCCCATTTACTTTCATGACCTCTGATTTAAAAGCAAAGATTGCACATTATTTACTACTGGATGATTTCCCTGAAATTTAATGAGGACTAAGTACAAATATGACAGATGTAATTATCACAGTTTTATTCTGCACAGTCAGGGTCTCCTTGTGCTGTAATTGCAAGCTTTTCATTGAACTGCTGGCAGCAGAGTTATTACCATAGTATTTTATGTTATTTTGGAGAATGAGAAAGAAGACCTTCCAGCTCAATTTTGTTCCAAGGAATTTCTAAGCATTCCTTCTGCCAAGATCTGTGATAGAACAACAATTTTTAAAATTTGATCAGATCCCCTTGCAGACTTCATTACGTGTCGTTCTGCAGCACACAAAGGCTAACCCCCAGATTCTCATAACGTACTGGGAGGGATGGGAAAGTTGTGGTAGTGGGGGAAGCGTTAAGTAGTTTTGAGAAAGAAAGGAATATGTGGGCAGGTGGCCAACTCATTGTCTAGCCTGAAAGAGGACTTTTCCCTAGCATGTATTGCTTTACTCATTTAGACTCAAGCTAAGGTTGAGTGAGCCTCAGCTGGAGGCTGGACCACTGACCCCGAAGCTGGAAATACACAGCTATAAGCACACCCTTGGAAGCCTCTCTTTTCGAGGCCAGAATGTAATTGCTTTATACTACTCCCTGCCTTCATCAGGCAAACTCACATGCTGAGGGGTGGAGAATAAAACTTTCTAGTCCAATTCATACTTTATAGCTCTAGCGTTATTAATTTTCCACTTGGAATTCATGACAATTTTCACTTCAAATCCAAGCACCACAAGGCTCAGATCCACCAAATATGTCATTTTATTGGTGTGATAATTACTGGAGGCTGCCTAAATTGAACAGCAACATCTTTATTTTAAAGAGTAGCTGGTATGATTTTTACAGGCATGAATAAAAAAATATATCAGTGTATTTCAAATCTCTTATAAGAATTTGCACATCTGCTATGTTTAGCTGGCCAATTCCCCCCCCCCCACCATGAACATTAAAAGGAGACATTTATATCCCATTAATCTGAAAGTTAATAGCTGCAAGGCTTCTATTGTGGACTTAGGAGTTGTCACTGCATCACATTTACAAAATTATGAAAGCTGTTCAAATGTTTTTAGAAGTCTTTGAGAACATGCCAAAAATCCTGGCACTGAAGAGCTAATCCCCCCCCCCCCCCCATTCAAGATATAATAAGAACACCAGGGGTTGGATGTATGGAATCCTTGTCCCCTCCCCCAAAGTATGCTATGTTATTGGAAGCAACTGCCAAGGAACGGGATAGAACCACCATGATTAGTAAGATTTCAAATCAAGATGAAACCACTGCTTGAACATACCCGGGTTAGTTATCTGCTTGAAACTATAGTGGGCGGCTTAAAGAATTTTTACCCAGGTCCAACAAAAAGGGACTAAAGAATCTGAACAACCCGATACAAAATTTTAGCAGGTGGACTGGAGTTGTTCCTTGCAATGATACAGGTTTTATCAGCTTGATTTCTATCTGTCTTTCTACACCACCATTTTGTCATGAAATAAATATACAATTGCTACTCATTTGGTGTAACCAATCCATGTCTTCTCTAAATACTTCTCTTGAGGATTTATTTATTTATTTATTAAACTTCTACCCCACCCTCCCCACACGTGGGCTCAGGGTGGCTTACAAACAGGGCACCATGTGCCAACACATAAAAACAGAGTAACAACTCTGTACTACATTTTCCGTAACGTTTTTGGGGAAAGTGATTCTTTCCATAGCTATAAGAAAAATGAAGCCCAGTGAGAACAGTCATATTAACCTAATGATTAATCAGAATCTCAAGAGTTTTTAAAGGATCCCTGTTATGTCTAGCTTTCCTATCAGAGGCAGGAATAAAATTAAATGGCAGACTGCAGGTCAAAGAAGTCACAGGAGGCAAAATAAATGATGGATGTCACCGTGGCAACACACAGTAATTTTAGGATCAGTACTTAGTGCCTGAAGTAACAAAGCTCTGTAGCAATCAAAAACAGTTTTGAAGGAAAAGGTGAACTATTTTTAATGTGTCCTACTGGTTACCAGTACTGATACTATCACATATATGCAAGACTGATTACCCACAAAAGTATTTTCCTCAGCACATACTTCTTAATAGCACAGGACTGTGAAGAAACAAAGCTGCACAGAGCAAATGCAAGACCGAGCTACACCATGCAAAAAACCTGCATCAGAATTAACCTTTTTACTTCACAGGAAGGAAAGTAGTTTGGTTTTGATTCTATACTCACAATTGGACTTGCATTGATGTAATCTGAATTGTCATGGCTGTTTTCAGCTTTCAAACATATTCTGCAATGGTCGTCTGTGAGAGAAAAGGAGCACTTTTATTGATCTGCACGTGTGCACATGTGAAGGGAGTTCTTTCAGTTAGTTTTTCCAACAGGAAAAAAAGAAAACCAAGATGCTTTGCCTTTTAGCCCCTCTATCGTCAGCCTTTTAGGGGACGTACATTCCATCTAGTGCTATAGAGACATTTAATTGACAACTTTTTGCATCTTCAGTTGGATGTTTCCATTTTTTGCTTCTTCCTCCCCGAAGGCCAAGGGTGCACCAGTTTAAATCTGCATACCTACTCAGAATTTCACACAGAACATTTACAAGACAAAGCCTTAAAGATCAGGATGAGAAACAGACCCACCCCTCCACTTTTTGAAAAACATCCAGCCTAATGAAGCAGTTTGGAGAAATCGAAGCTTGCATTCCCTTCACGCTAATTTTGGTAAGCCCTAATAAAAGCGATGACTTATTTTTGAACATCTAAAAAAAGACTCTGAAAGGCAATTCAAATAACGACACAAATAAAAATTCTCACTACACCAACCCACCTGCTTTGAATAGCCAAGTTTTTTTAAGCGCTATGGCATCCTCCATTCTTGTTTTGTTTCGCAAGAACTGAACAGGAAGCATGATAACAAGTTCAGAAATAGCAAGAACAACATTAACATGGATGATCCATGTGCCAACACTACTCTTTTGAATGGAGCAATTTATAGCTATGTGCTGGCACCATTACCATTCCACCTGGGGTCAAATGCAGACTTATCAGAGACACTGTATGGCTTGTGGCAATCTTCTGATACTTGGAAAAAGCCTGCACAGATACACTGTAAGAAAAGGGATGCTTCAGCTGCCAGACATTATTCTTTGAATTAAACATAAATTTGTGATGGGTATCCCAAAGTGCTTAAGCTAGTTCTGGATGTTATGTTTTCAAGGTTACCTGAAACACTGTATTCATTAGTAAAAATACACTATTCCTTAACAAGAACATTAGTAGTGCCAAACTGTCTTACAAATCTTTCCCTGGTCTTCTGCTTATGAGCAAGAGAATGCTTAAAAGACAGTTGTTAGTAATGAAGTTTAGATTAAAAGAATTTCCTCCCCAAGCTCACATTTATTGCAGTCAAGATTCATCTCGGGCTACACTGCTATGTATTCTGAAGTCTGGCATGTGGCATAGAATGCTTATTACAGCTAATGCAGTCAACAAGTACATGCAAGGAATGTGCTGCTCTTAACGTTACACCAAATAAAAAAGCCTTCTAGGCACACATGCACATTGGCCACACTCAGCTTTGCTTTTTCATCATAAGCCCAATACAGAGAATTTATCTACAGAAGCCAACAGGCATTCATTCAGTGCAGCTGAATATCAGACAAATGGTTTGAGCCAGTTCTAATTACAAGCTGCTGATATTATTCGCTCTTTGGATGGATGTGATTGTGTCCAGCAGCCAAGCCAGAGTTCTTCTGACTGAGTGACCAACATTACCAACAATGAGCTAGAAGTATTATATGTACAGTTGTAATGAATGCTCTTACACAAAGCTACACGAAACCACACTTGCAATCTTTGTGTTAAGAAGCTGTACACAAATTTCCAAGCAGCTGAAGCACATGGAGAGACAATAGAAGTATGTTAAGATAGCATTTACTGCTAGAATTTCCTTGCACATAGTGACCAACATTTGAATGCACACTTTATCAATCATTTGTTGATCAAAATGCTGTGTAGGTCAAAGGGGAAAACTAAGCAGAGAGTGGTCATATTAAGCTATACATACATGCTACTACATCTTGCGAGCGGTTCTTCTGGATATTTTCTTCCTTATGAGCAACGGTGGTTGCACTGGGCTCAGCTTGATAAGTGCAAAGGGCTTCCCACTCTTTCTCCAGACGATTCTTGTTCTTTAAGTGATCTTCCATATATGACTGAAATGAGAAAGTTTCATTAGAAGCAATGCTCTTTATGTGTTGACACACTAGTGTTCCAATAAATATATGAATGAGCTCAAGATCACTAAAATTCTCCTGCCTAGTTTCAAAGAACTGTGTGACAAGCTTTGCACACCAAAGAGAGCTACAGGCTTGAATTTCTCAAACAGCATCAAATACACCACTAAGTGGCAAAGCACTTTTGAACTTGAGAGGACTTTTAAAAGCAGCTTGTGATGCTGCAAGGAGATGAACTATTCAGTCAAAACTTCCATGGGCATATATCTAACCCCTCGGGTGCATCTAAAGTAAGTTCTTGGGCTCCCAAGCTTGTGTGTGCAACTTTGAAATAGATGCTAGAGTGATCCAGCTCGGGGTGGGGGGTGGGGGGGGGGGGGATACTGCAAACATAACAGCAGGAGAAGGAAAAGCACTTGCTTGTATACTTTCTCCAGTTCCATGTCCTTTGAGAATGAGCCCTTTGACTTGAATGCTAAGCATTTAGTAGAGCATGGCACTGCAGGAAGGATTAGGGCAGACAAAAGGTGTCAGTAAGACAAATCAGAAGAAAATGAAAAAGATCATACTCCAGGTATCTAAACATTAGCAATGTGCAGTCCTCTGGTAGTTCACAGCAATACAAGAAACATACTGCATGGAAAGCTACGATATTCCTAATTCCTAGACAACCAGTCAGTTTCCAGGGATCTTCTTTTACACCAGCAGTGTAGGGGTGTAGCACCAAAGCACTGAGAAATCAAGCGTATCTACTGTTCTAATTACTGATCCATACAAAGCTATCTGATAAGCTTCCATAAAGACGTGGTGTGTGTGCATTTGTGTTGCATGTGCGTATGCACACACACGAGGATGTTCAGTCAATGAGCTCAAGTTAGGGGGGGAAAGAGAAATTCCACACTATGCTCAAGAATGCAGGATATAGTTGTTAAATACCAGTATGGTACTTAAATAAAGGTTTATTATGTTAGAGAGGGTTCCTGTATTTTGAGAAGCAACAGAATTCGGAAGTTCTTGTTAACAGGTCACATGTCTTTGCATGAAAAGTACCAAATACCACTACCCAAAACTAACACAAAAATTAAAATCAGGGAGAAGAAAAGAATGAAACTAGTACAAAAAATATTTATTGGATGTTTTCCATAAGAAATATCCTCATCTGTAGAAAGGAGCGAATTCCTTTTTAGATGCATATTTAAAGCACAAATACAGCCCTCATCTAACATTGGAGTTCATATAGTTCCATGACAGATCCATTAACTCCTACTGTGGGAAGTGGGGAAAAGACACTTGAGTGTGAGACTATGTCCTTTTCCATTACTATTTCACTTATAGTTAGGTTAATTTGCTCTTTCATATCCTAATCGATAGCGCAAAGGCATCCAATACTTCAGATCTCTCAAATTACTTCCCCCCCAAAAGCCCACATCCACCTTTGCTATGTTGTCAAAAGTACACAACAAAATCAGGAGAGGGCACAGAAAAAGGTGCTTAAGATGATTGGGGCAGGCTATATTCCTTGTAAAGAGCTACTAAATCTGGTAAATGGTACAAACAAGTATAGCCTTTTAATTTTTTTAGTAGATTTATATCCTGCCTTTCACTCATGGAACAGTACATGGGGGAGGGCTGGTTCCAGGAGCCCCCCCAGGCACTCACCAGACCTAGAACTGCCTAGTTTCATTGAGGAAGCTGCCCCTTGTGCTTTCAGACTGTACCATGGCTTCAAATGCAGATCTCCTGAAAAAGGTGGCTACTAACTACAGTAGACAAAAATTCCTTCTGATTATCAGATGCTGGAGATTAACAACAAGTGATGGATTAAGTCATCATGCCCTAAAAACTCCATCATTAGGCCACTGGTTTTGATCCGGCAGGCAATTCTTATGCTTTAAATTATCTCAGTCATGAAACCATGTACTTAAAAAGACTATTGATTTCAATGCAGTTTACCTTCAACTAAACATACTGGAGAACTACAGCTAACATTGCTGTCACTCTACCTTTACCATCAGTGGAAATGCTGATATGTTCTCTCTCTCTCTCACACACACACACCACTGCATCATTAAAACCATGACCTCATCCTTCTAGGTACAGAATAATAAAGGTGGTTTTATTCTTTGCAAATCAAACACGTGTTTGATGGTACAAAAATGCTGTCTCATGTATTAGTCTAATTTTCTGTAAAACATTCGTGCACATTTGTGAGCTGGTTTATGGAAATCATATCTGCCAAGGGCAGTCAAGCTAAAAACAGAGGCATTTGTGGAACTGAGGGAAATGCAATAGAAGCAGACATTTAATGCCATTGAGATATTTTGGATTATAAGATTTATTTCAGTGGAGGAAGGCAAAAATCCTGGTACTTGGATACCACAGTGACAGGTACATCTTTGCTGTTTCTAAGGTATCATGGTACAGCAGTATTTTGATGTGAAAGGATTATCCTATTAGAATAAAAGACATTTGGCACACATAAAAGAAGAGACCCTTATTAAGAGAGATTTGCAGAGATTATTGATGGATCCTTTGTGAAAACAACAAAAAAGTTATAATACATCTTCAGAGCTTAAACTGCATCTGGCTTTCCTTGGGCCAGTAAACCCTTGCATCTGTATAGAAGCCCATATTGCCATCAATGAAGGTTTGTAGGAATGCCAAAAAAAGGCCTTTGTAATACCCACCATAGGAACCAAGCATTCAATAACATGACAGAAGAAAGCCCAGCCCTGCAATGGTGATGGAAGACGGACTAGGTAAAATTCTCCCTTCCTTGCAGCTACTATAGAAACTGAGCTTTTTCCATACTGTATGTGGCAACTCACATGGCGAAACCTTTGTGAGAACTAGATTTATAGGCAAGTAACAGCCTTTGGCAGGTAGATACAGGAAAGCAAGCAACCCACATAGTAGAAAATACTACCATGAGGTAATCCAGTAGTAGTTCACACACGGTATATGTTTTTCCTGCTGTATATTCTCACAATGTTCCAATCTTTGGACTTTCCCACGTATTTCATGTAGTTGAACAGTCATCTGTCTTAGTTACCTGTGGCCGGTGTTGCTGAAAGTCAAAGAGATTTTTCAATTCTATAGAATTTCATAGCTCGAGTTACCTTTGTAGAACAGGTTGCACCTGTCCTCCTTTCTCTCAATGGCTTTCAGAGTTCACAAGTCAAGTGTTCTCCATACATGGTAAAGAAATACTAGGAGTTTTCATGAGGTAGTCCCCCCTTATGGTTAATTCCAGTTATTCATAGAGGGGTATGTATGTTTTAATATCCCCCTATATTTCCTTCATAGGCTCTAAGATAATTCTGCTACAATATTTTTTAAAAGCCAGATATTTCTAAAAAGCGTGTTTGGGAAAAACAACTGTCCACTCATATACCTGACACCCACAGATGGCTCCACCAAGCAGATTTTTAAAATGAACATAATGAAAAGACACAAGAGTAAGGCAGAGGCTTCTGTAAATGTGGGGGAACCCCTAGGTTTCATTAAAATCTTAAATTTAAGAAAGCAGGGGATTCAACACGAACCGGACTCTGAGATCTCAAAAAAGTAACTAGCAAGATCTTGGTTGCCATTTTGGATTGACCAGGTAACCCAAATTAAATTATTTCTGTGTTTCATTTAACCCCTTTAGGTGCCGAGGAAGGCTGGAAGCAAGAGTGGGGGACAGGAGAGGGGAAGAGTGTGGAGAAGCTGTGAGAGGAGGGAAAGA